TCAGAGAACTTCGTGAGAGCCATGGATAATAAGGTAGGAATTGGTGTTCCTCTTGAATTTCTGGAGGTTATATGCCTCAGGGGATACCTCCCTTGGCAATGTGTTCCAGAGCCTCGCTGTTCGTTGGATGAACGAGTCTTTGGAAAGAAATGTTCTGCATGTCTTTAAAGTGACCACGAAGGGATGCGAAGCCTCAACTCGACGGGTTAATCTCGAGGGGAATGCCAATGGTGGAACAATTGTTGATATTTCGAAAGAGCATCGTCCATGGAAATATCTATAAAATAGAGCCAGATCGCCAACTTTTCTACGGTGTTCCAGAGAGGTGAGTGAGTTGTGAGCGAGGCATCACCCACGAGACGAATTGCCCTTTTTTGGACAGAATCCAACAGTTTAAGGGTATTTTTGGGTGCTGCACTCCAAATATGGGAACAGTATTCCAGGACAGGTCAGATCTGTGCCTTATAGATCATTAGCAGCTGACTGGAAGTGACATAGCTCCTGGCCCGAAACAGAAAACCAAGTTTTTGAGATGCACTTTCAGCAATTGATCTTACGTGATTTTCCCAAGAAAGGTTATTGCTGATAGTAATACCAAGCATCGAAATGGATGTGTTCAAAAGTATGGTTACTCCTGACCATAGATTAAACTTATGTTGGGCACAGTGAGATCAGCTCTTCTAGAGGAATGGCATGCTTGTGTTTTGTTGGCATTGAAATCTACCAAGTTAGAGAATTGTTGCCAAGTTTATATTTATGTTGTCAACATTTCTCCCTCGTTCGTTCCTGATTGGCTGGTATTGGAGCCCTGGAAGAGAAGGCGGTATGGAGGGTACTATCATCCGCGAAGCTGTGTACTGGACATGAAGTTGCTTCCAACAAATCGTTGATATGAATGAAAAATATATTCTTGTCAAATTGCCTTCGAATTTCTGAATTGTCTCTTCTCAGTGACAGAAGTTGATATAAACGAGCGAGTTACAGGATGTTTCCATAAATTGATATTGAATTTATCATTTTCATATTCAGATTTTATAGGCCTGACTGAATACCATCTCTGTATTGACTGAAGCAATGTTATATAATATTGTCTCCATTCAGAAGAATCCAAGCAGATTCTCTGAATTTTCTTTTTTGGTTGTTATATTGTTTTTTCCTATAACTTAAATGTTATTCCACTCTGCCATAATATGGATATTATGTTCAGATGATATAGATTTATCGGTATGTCATTTCTTCATGTTGTTGTTTTGTGTTCTCTCGTCCTTATACAGAGAGATAGTAATATTATAATACAATGCAATTTCAGCTGGTTACAGTTCGGTAGAAAAGAGATCTTTCATTCTCACTTTCAACAATAACAAGATTGAAGGTTGGTCCAAATATCTAGTCAACAATTTTTCTGTACTATGACACAAACCATGATTTTAGAATACTTCCTGCAACTAGAGAGAACTCCGTACTAAGAGATTTGAAATAAAATCACAGAATAAAATAAGTACATGTAAATTTTGTAGAGTATTTGTAAATTTGGGCCGATAAATTTTTGCCGAAATAAGATCATTCCTCGAAAAATTGAACACCAGATGAAACATTATAAATGACATATGCAATGTGGATTATTGCCAAACGTTCAATAATAGTTCAAAGTTATACTATGGTATAAGAGGACGCCTACTTTCATGACAATCTTGTCTCAAGATACGTTGTGCATCAAATTTATTGATTCCTAGAAATCCAAATTTTCATTCGAAAGTATCCAAAATGAGTTATAATATTATGGTGAAGTCGCCTTTGTATAGGTTCTGGCGAAGTTTCATCAATTTTCCGGTAAAATCTCCCTCAGTAGCTTTATGAATGAATATTTTATAATCATTAAGCATTATGATTAACTCAGAATCTGTTGTTCTCACAGTGGATTAATAATTTCACCGATATATTCATTGAATCCTATGTTAGAAAAAAAATTACATAATTAAATGAATGTTGAGAAATATGAACACTGGTTTCTTTTATACTCAGTATACTGTAACTTGAAGTGTAAGATATGACGTATGTGGTATGGTTGAACTCAGAAAAATATGGGCTTTCAATTTCTGATATATAAATATGCCCTTTCAATTTAAAAAAAATATCGATGACGTCATATCTTGTAAGGTGGTGGGGGAAAAAATTATTTTTTTGTAAAAAAAGATGGAAGACTGAAATACAAAATCGACCTGTCCGAGCTTTACCTCTGAAAATAATTATATCGTAAGATAATGGAGCGTTTCCACACTTTATGAACGCACTGTATATTCCTCTTCTATTCTATTCCATTTATTTATATCTTGCAAGATATTGACTTTGTGGACAAAATGTGATAATAATAATAATGAAAATTCATTTTAGACAATAAAGCTCATCTATCTATCTATCTATTAGCTTCCTTCTTTTTTGTTGAGGTGTTGACGTTTTCGATTTCTCAGGTTTGTATCGATATTCTGATTGCATAATTTTGCTATTGTGAATTAGGTTTATTGTCATGCTTAGCATAGAATGAATTGCCCACGAAGATGACAGCTTCATTTTTACCTTGAGTTCTTGGAAATATGCAAGTACCTACCTAAAACAGTTTCTTCGATTTCACTTTCGTCTACATTTCGCATACATTTTTAATGTAGTAACTACATTTGGCTCGAACGACTGAGGATGTGTTTGAAAAACTGTGTTGCCATGGTGATGTGTTCAAAAAATTGTGTTGTCATGGTAACGTGTTTAATATTTTGAAAAAGTCATAGATCGCCAATCCTTATTTAATCAATCATTTAGCGTGGTACATACATATCCGTATGCAAAATGTCATTTTAGTTATGTGAGTAGAAAATATCAATGGCAGGGATGTGATTTTGCTCCCGCTGATGATGGTCACTGCCATTTGATAGCAAGGAGGGGCAGGCTCCCACCCCTTGGAATTTAACTCTCACAGTCTAGACGCAATATTTTGGTGAAAAATAGTAGATTGTTCTATTAGGATTAAAAGTGACACTTTTTTGACAAGCAAATTCTGCATTTGCGAATTTCAAGTTGAAAGTAGACAAGAATGATGTGTTGCGGTAACAAAATATTTTGTCGTGGATATATTATGACACTCACATTTTGTTGAATTTGGAGAACTTTTGTTGTTTCAAACAATTTTTCTCTGTGTATAATGATATATATCGATCGTGATGTGATAGTAGAATCGAAGATGGGAAGTTCAATAAGTGAACCGAAAAAAAACATTGGGGTGCAATTTGAAAAATCAAAGTGAAAAGAGTTTTTTAGTACATTATTTGACATTTATTATTCTACTATAATGGTATGATATGTAATTGTCCTGAATTCTTACTTACAATCCAATTGTATTGTATGCATAAGTGGTGAATACACTGCGACCTAAAAGATCTACCATACATGTATGCTATTTTTCTGAAGACTCCAAATAATGAAGACACTTTCATTGATGCCGATCAAAATATGTTTGAAAAAAATAAACTTCGAGGTCATCCACTTTGTTAACGTCGAGAAAATATTTGAGTATCTCACTTTCACATAGGAACATCAAATGCTAAATAAAATTCTAAAAATAGCCTTTGCCATTGCCAAAAAGGATTGGTAGTAGTCTTGAAACCAATACTGCTCGAGTTCCTGCTAATTGAATGCACCCAAAACACTTGAATGACGTCATGAATTGCTAATGAGGTATAGACCCTTGGGTAGATCAACATTGCGCCTAAACGATGAATAAATAGTACATGGGCTTAAACAAAATATACCAACATGACTCAAGAGTCGTTACGATTCATTTGGGAAAAAGTGTACGTTAGATAATCCATATATCTGCTGCCTAAAAAGCTCAGAGTCAAATTTTTTTTAGAACGAACAAAAAACGCCCCGAGTTTTTTTAAAAAGCGGACGTGAGAATTTCCGATTGAAAATAAGGGTGTTTTTTCGATATTAGGTCAAAGTAAGGTGGAAAAACAAATATTTCAAATAAAAATAAAATACAGTGTCTTTAGGACATTAAATGGTGGGTTTCCACCAAATTTCGTGAGAGAAATTTTTTTTGCATAGGATAAAAATAAAACCAAAAGATTGATTATCTGAATTTTTCACTTACATTTTGAGCTTATGTGAAGAAAGTGTGATATCAAAAGTTGTAGGTCTCTTCATTACCTACAACTTTATTATTTAATATTTCTCCATAGGACTCGTGGTTCTGCCGGAAATCGAGATACACCGTTTTTACCCTTAAAACTCACCCCCTTCCAGTTCCCGACCTCAGATCGCCCGTAAATTGTTTTTCCTTTCATTTTTGTTATATTCTCGTCCTTTCTCAATGGGTTTCATCCTACTATTCTTTTTTTTGGTTTCAAAAATTATCGACCCTTGTCTATTGGGGCATTTTTTATCAGTCAGTCTATATTCTTTGGAAAAAATCAACAATGAAATTTCACAAAGTCGGTCGACCACACTTTATAAAAAAAAATATTGAAAATTAAATGTAACCGGTTTCGGCGCAACGGCCATCATCAGACAAAAAAGTACCTGTAAAAAGAATAATGTGACAATACAAATAGAGGAAAGTGACAAACTTATTAAAAACATACCAAAGCATGAAGCTATTGAGTAGCATTATGGATAGAATCAAACATGAGGGCAACTCAAGTCGTCAACGGGCTATCAGAGTCAGGCACATGTGGTTCTTCTTAAATTTGGTAAAGAGACAGAAAAAACTGGCTCTGATAAAATTAAACATCTCATCTTGATAAGTTTGCCACATTCCTCTATTTGTATTGTCACATTATTCTTTTTACATGTACGTTTTTCTCTGATGATGGCCGTTGCGCCGAAACCGGTTACATGTAATTTTTAATAATTTTTTATGAAGTGTGGTCGACCGACTTTGAGATTTTCATTGTTTTTCTTTTGAAATTACTTTGGACCACTTTGAGATATGGATGATTTTCATGATTTACCTTCTTCTATTCTACTCCAAGCGACGTCCTGACTCTCTTTGGCATACCTAAGGATCACATCCACTAACGAAATCATCCTCCAGGGCAACTGAAACTTTTCTTTGATTCGATGACACAGATTGAGAAGTATTTCGGCCGCTTGACCTGTGAAAGAAGTTGAACATCAGGTAAAACAACACATTGAGAATCCTCAACAAAATATGTTGACAACTACGAAATAGTCACAATGCTCAAAGTGGAATAAAATGTTAAATAAATACATAATGCTCAAAGTCATTTCCACAAAATGTTCGTTTGTTCTTCTCCCGAAATCTGCCATTGTTGTTCATTTTATGAACATTTTGTGAAAATGACTTTGAGCTTTTTGTATTTATCTGAAATATGTTGAGCCTAACGAAGAATGAGTAGATATAGATATTTTAACACTAGAGTTGGAAGTTATCACAAGAATCAGATTCTGATAAATATTCAACTCAAATTCTGACTTGTTCAAAAGATAACCATTAGGTATGCATGGATATACCATAACTTCATTTCCGTATCATCAAATTGAAAAAAAAAATCAAGTGAATTGTCAAGTCAACATTCTGATTCGATAGATCAGGTCTTATCACATATTTTTGTATATCTGATTCGTTCGAGCTAATTGTCCATTGCTCACTCGAATTTCAGGTTTTTCAGATTTTCAGGAATTCATTCTAGTATTATCGAAGTTGCTTACGTGGGTATTTGAATAGTTGTAGATGAAGTGTAGTACTCTACTCGCACATAATGATTATTTCTACCCAGATGACAACATCAATCGTATTCGAATCCTACTGCAATTATCACCTCCGTGACTAATAGCCATTATTATATGCTTGCTGAATAATATACCTACTATCACTCCAATTTATATATACATACAGTGTGGCCAATCGGAGGAAGATATAAATTTGGTCAAATGTAGAAAAACTAGCGCATTCCGAGGGTTATACCAACACCTCTCGAAAATTTTCAAAATTGTTTATAGTTTTTCAGTTATATTGAGGAGATTTAATTTGTGGAAAAATCATTTTTTTTTACGTCATTATTAGAGATTCCAAAAAACTGGAAATTCTTCTCCATAGCAACTTTTGATATGATTCAACATGGTGATATTGATTTCAATAGGCGAAGTTTCGTTTTTTTTTAAATACGGTTCTGATTATGTGTTCACAGATTCTGAATGCATTTTTATTTCTGAATTCAACCATGTATTATACAAGGTGGTTGGTTTGAATGTGTTTCGACCTAGTTTTAGCCATCTTCAATTATTCCAAAGAGGAAATACCATCAGTTCAGCTTATTTCGGATCATTCGGTGTCAAACATTGATGTAATTATTCAATACTGAAAAGTAAAAAATATATATTTCGTTAAATTATTCAATGCAGTGCTTCAAATATAGTTTCATGTTAATGTATTCTCATTCCTCACACGAATTACCTTCATAACTAAACTTTGACAACACAAACATTATTTACATTCATAACAATTTTGAAACGATTCGAAGGCGGTTGGTATGACCATCTGAATGCTCAACTTTTTTACCATTTAACCGAATTCGCATCTCCTTCCGTTTCCGAGATACCACACTCAGAGGAATAGTCAGTAATGAATACCAAAAGATTAGTAATAGGCGCCAGTCGCACAACAGTCATCAAATAATACCACAACAAAATTGTATCATACTATTTTGTAGTGGTGATATTTGATATAGTATTATACAATTGTGTGGTGGTATTATTAGTTGAATATAGTGACGGGCGCCAATTTTACTAAAGGTATGGTATATACCACCGACTATTTTTTCAGTGCCATGCTGTGCAACCTTATCTTGGTCACAATGTACAATAATGTACATACATATAATCTCCTAATATACACGTGTCATAGGATTTCAGATTATGATTCCAATAATATAATTAGGTGCGAGGTGCAAGTATAGGTATTTTTTGCAGCAAATATTGAAAATATATATGGTTATCAAAACTTCTATTAGCATTTCACAAAACCTATATATAAAGACTTCTCTCAGACCTCAATTAGTCACAAAATGAATTAAATGTAAATAAAATGTATAACTTTTATGATTATTGCTTGATAACTATCTAAATAGACATTCACTACATTAGTTAAGTTATTGTAGGAAATAGAAATATTTTATAAGGCATTAGGCTAGTGTCAGGTGATATATCATAAAAACAAATAGGTATACTTTCAAATGATCAGTAATTGAGAAATTAATTGTATTTGAGGTATGATGCGTTTATATAATGACTCGTTTTATTTTCATATAAATGTTCTTCGTCTCATTCCATTGAGCAATTTTACTTTCACTTCCTCATTTTATTTTTGGAGTTCTTCATCTTCAGACGTTGTTAGTCCGAAACAAGCAAATTTTCAAAAAACGATTTTGAGAGCAGAAGAGAAAGATCATCACAGTCTCATTCGGAAATGATTATAATGATAGTGTCACGTCTGGAAAATATGTGAAATTGGAAATATCGCATCAGGATCTAACCACGCATAAAAAATTCTTATTATGAAAAAATCTCATGATTATACTGTATAGACGTTTTATACGAGTACTTTGAGTTTTCCATCTGAATTTGTTATCTGAAAGTTTTAATATATTCCTTGAAAAATTATATATTGAGTCACTATATGATGTTTTCATTTTTCATAAAATATGTATATGTATATCTTTCCTTGGCTTTTTTATAAAACAAAACTATAGGGTCAAAATGATACTATGACATTCTCATCTTTTATTCTATGCTAATTTGAGATGATCTTCAACCATAATCAGTATTCGTCATATCACTTCATACTTCATTAAATCCACATGTAACGCCTGTACACTATAAAAAAACTTACAATGAATGATTAAATAGATAAGTTCGGCACATGCAGTGGTGCGTTAAAAATTCATTTTGAATAGGCGTAAGGTGTATGAAATTAATTATTCTCCGTTTTTCAAAGATAAAAATAACAGCTTTATACGAATCTGATACATTCAGGGAATGAATAAATAACTAATTTGTATCACATATTAATGATCAAGAATTATATATTCCTCAAATAATTTCTGTTACTTCTTATACTTAATTATAGGTTACCACTGATTGTTTTCTCCGTTTGATTTTAAACCAATCAGAAAGTTCAATTCAATCAATCTACCTTGTATAATTTCGACTATTCCACTGAAAACATAATCTGACCAATCACAAGCCAGAGACAACATGCGGTCATCGTGAAAACATAAGCTGTCTTTTAATTATGATTGGTCTGACAGCAAATCAAAGTCTGAATATAAACAAGCAAAGCCAGTCAGTTTGGCATAAAATAATGATGGCTGTTTTTGTCAGAATGAACCACTCATTTATAATAAATACTTTTTTTTGCTTCGTGACTTGAATAGTCCAGCAAAATACCACTCTGTTCTTTACGAAATTGTGTTGCCGGGCAACATTGCTGTACGGCAACAGAATTATCTCGAATATATTCAGAACATCGTGATATCACTCGTGGATATACATAGAGTAGTTCCACCAATCAGAAATTTAGAATTATATTTTCATTTCCATAGTAACCAATACATATTGTCACATACAAACAAAGCGCGTCGTCAAATTCTGACGTTCCTTCAGAACTACCTACTCAAAAACTAGTCGCATCGAATACAATTCGAACTTCAAAATCTTCAAGGTTATACATCTCAAACTTCCTGCACAATTACAAATCGTGACAGTTTAAGAGTTGAAATAATCCGACCGCGATGTATTGCCCGAATATTTTGAAGTACCTATACTTATTGAATTACTATTAAGTACGGATTATTTTTTTCACAAGTCAAAATGTGACGTTTTCATTGTCGCTGTAAGATGTTCGCTGGCCATTTTGCGAAAAATATATTTAAAAAAATAATCACGTCGAATTACATTCGTGATGGTAATTTTTTTAAATAATTTTAACTAGATGCCCGAGTTACGGAAATCTCCCGAGTGGACGAAATAACCATACTTTTGTTATTACTGTTGATTATTTGAAAAATGCGTAAAGACCTCTAAGAAGAAGACGGTTCGTGATGTATGGACTAGTAGGTATACAGAGTGTTCCCTTAAAGACATGCTAATTATTGAGGGAGTGATTGATTCTTTGACTCATTTTCAGAAGTAAACTTCATATGAACGTATGTCCTAGAAGTCTTAACATTTGAGATAGAGGGTGATGAAGTGTTGAAAAATATTCACATTTTTTATAATAAATGAGACAATATTGTTCATATCTCCATGGAATTTGGTACACATATTTTATTCATCAGGGTGCATTTTCCAAAGTGAGCAACGACGGAAAATTTTCGAATAATGCTATGAAGAGCTATTCAATTATGTGCAAAAAAATCCTCTCTTTGATACTCGATAGAACGCTTCGTTTTAGAGAAAAAACGAAAAAACGAGACCAGACATTAAATTTTTATATCTGAGTACTCCCATCAGGACATCTATTACTGGATAACCACAGTACCTATGTAACATTTTGATGTCTTCATACCGATCCAGTCACATAGCAGACTGAATTTTGCCATCACGAAAAGACACAGGGTGAAAAAATAATCTATGCATATTTTCAACATCGACACACTGTATCTCAAAAGTTGGGACGTTTACGAGATACATTCATATGAAGTTATATAAAATCTTGAAATGGGTCGAATAATCGGCCCCTTGACTATCAGCATATCATTAAGGAACATCCTGTATATAGGTACTAAAATAACTCAATAGATTTTTTCATTGAATCAGGCTCCAATATTCTTCCAGAAAAAATTTCGATGCGGCAGTGACGAAAGTATAGTTGAATAACCAAAATATTTTGAAACATCAGTTGCATAGGAAAATATTTTTGTATACCACAAATAATTCAATAGGTACCTATACTCAATCCAATTCCTTCTATGAATTACATAAGCGGCAACTAAAATGAAGCTGGATATTCTGGTCAATGACTGTATTGTACCAAGCTACCTGACTATATTTACTTAGTATGGCAATTTAATCAATCAGTGATGTATTCCAGTGTCGCCGTTAGGTATTCGTTATTCTTATACAATTCATTTCA